ACAACAATAACTTTGAAACATTGTAAAAACGTATTGCACTGTATAACAGTAAGTGTTATTTCTAAAGTACTACATAATCTAGTACACACCTAGGTCAGGTGTAAGTAATGGTAGCAGTAGTAGGAATAGTAGTAAGATGTAAGAAAATGTTTAAGTATTTTGTTCATTGGTTGTGTTGTGAATACCCATAGTAAAAGTTAAAATACAAAGAGTTGAACTTTTAATGGTTGTGTGTTCATACACAACAGTAAGTGTATGTACTCATAGTGCATTTATATGAAATTATTATATGATAAGTTGAATGTAAGGTTTTTGTTACACTAATAAAATCATACTGGGTACCTATTCAATGTGACAAAATCAAGAACACCTATATCTATCACCACTATGTATCAAATAACACACATCAGTAGTAAATAATATGTTACACTGTGTTACAAATAAAGTTAGTTGTATAAATACAGTAAAGAAAGTGATGAACACTACGATAAAACACTTATCCAGTACCTACACAATTCACAAAAAAGGAGAGATTAGTAAAGAGTCTAGTAATACCTACTTTGTGTAGTAGTAACATTATGAAAATGTTAATTTATATATCAAAACGTGAAGTATCCTGTTTATTTCAAAGTTGATATATAGGTATAGTTGTAAGTTAATCTAGGTATCAAATTTTAATCAATGTAAGAGCTTGACCCAGCGTTTGTTATGCAACTGAAATCTGAAACAGTGGCAACATAATTGAATGTCGTTCAAGTTATTCTATACATACAATTATAATATAATATAAGCTGAATGGAATTCTTATGATAAAATAGACATTTAGTTTTCAAGAATGTTGTACCGAGCCAGTACAGTATTGTAAAGTATAAGTAGGTATAGCAGAGTAACCTAAGTTATGTACAGATTTATATAATATGTATCTAAGATCACAGTGAATATTAACACGGAATAAACGTAAACAAATCTATTGTGTTAACTTTAGAAATGCCTATCTAGTACACAACTTACAAATAAAGGAGAGTATACCTAGGTCAGTAGTAAGTAGTAGTAGTAGTAGTATTATTTTGTTTATTGGTTGTAAATACCCAACAGACAGTTAACTGTGACTTCCACTACCTATTTCGTAGGAGTGGATATACAGTTTATCATTTTAACAAAATGAATAAAAAGAAAGTGTAATTGAATACAGAATTTTAACTTCCAACAATAAAAAGAAGAATATAGTAGTAAATATGTTACACTGTAGTACAAACAAAGTTAGTTGTATAAATTGCTAACAATAAGACAACACGTGAAATGATAAAATACTTATCCAGTATACAATTCACAAAGAGTTATGTACAGAAACAATGCATATAATATGTATCTAAGAGCACAGTGAATAATTAAACATGTAACAAATTTCAACCGTAGGTTAGACACTACTTATTGTCATTGGATGTGAAATTATATCATTGGTACTTACAAATAAATGAGAGTAGCCATATGTACTAAGTACCTAAGTAGTAGTAGTAGTAGTAGTAGTAGTAGTAGTAGTAGTAGTAGTAGTAGTAGTAGTAGTAGTAGTAGTAGTAGTAGTAGTAGTAGTATTGAGAACTGTGTAAGAAAACGTTAAGTGTTCTGTTTAGGTTAATATACCAATAGTAAAAGTTGATATATTAGAATAGTTATAAGTTAATCTAGATATTACAATAAGCTTGACCCAGTGTTTGATATGCAACTGAAATCTAAAACAGCGGAAACACAATTGAATGTCGTTCAAGTTATTCTACAGTTTGCTTTCTATACATACAATATAATAATAATAATAATAATAATAATAATAATATAATAAGCTGAATGGAATTCTTATGATAATATAGGCATTTAGTTTGAAGAATGTTGTACCGAGCCAGTGCAGTATAGTAAATTATAAGTGGGTATCTAAGTCATGTACAGAAATGAAATTGTTGTTGAATAATATTATTTAAAAAGTGGTCTACACTATCTAACACTATATTAAGTATCATATAGTGAATGTTGTGTAAATTGATCAAACTTGATATGGTGTTATGAGAAGGCAATAAAGTGAAATGTATACCATGACTTTTGTTATAATATGTCATTCACTTGATATCGTGTATTAAACAGTACCTTGTATGAGCTTAAAATATGTATTACTCGTATGTCAGAACAAAAACGTTGAATGTCATTGAGTTATTCAATTAAGTCAGGCTGCTAACATACACAGTAGGTACATTATAAACTCATGAGAGTACACAACAGTATTAGTGACAAAGTGTAATTATTACTGAAGCAGTCCAGCCATACGGGTATAGAGTCAAATGATGGATTGAACATATTATGAATTCTACACTCACCAAAGACGGCACTGCTGCGTGCCGCAGACGTCGTTGTTGTGCATTTCCTGCAGCGTAGTCAACACCGCGGACAAAATGCCTCGAACACAGCTTCGATGAGTTGGTCACAGGAAAACCGCGGTCCACCACAAATGCCGTCCACTCGACTCGATACACGTCGATTGTTGGAAATCTAAAGGTGACATAATATTATTGATTTTATTACATTGCTATGCACCAACGTGATGTGTAAAATAATTGTAAATACCCGTGTACTGAAACTCCATCGATGTTGTCCACAATTCCGCAGATGACACATCGTTTGACCATTTTGAATAGTCTATATTATAAGTATAATAATAAGTAAAAAGTAAATACTAAATAATATGAAAAACTCAAATATTCTATATGAATCGAATATTATAATGACGGACGACGGTGTCAGTTCGTTATCAGCGGTGATGTAAGACACTTGGCGACTCGTGTGTCATTTTTAGAAATAATAGGTACACACCGGCTTACGTGATGTACATACAAAATATAAAAATTACATAGGTCCCCAGCTTTTTATTAACGCAAAATTCCAAGCGATAAAACACGTGGTAACGCGCCGAAACGGCCAACGGACTTACGCGTCTACACCTCTCACAGCTAATACGAATGCGGATACAAAAAACATTATAGGTATTCAAAGTACATTTTGCGGTGTACGAAAAAACACGAAACGCGCGGAAAACGAATGACGAAAAACGTGGTGAAAATATGTTCGTTCGCGATACACGCTGCCATGAATACACCTGTAGTTTATCTTAATATATATTATTATTGTAGGAGATATAAAAGTCGTACTCACCGGTATGTGAAAAGCGCCCAATGCAAAAAGCAAAAACTCCAAGAAAAGCACCGAATATTATAATATAATACAACGTATAACTGTATTAGGCTTTTCCGGGTTGATGTGCGTTGCAAGAGCGCCGGTCACGAGTTGAGGCAGGACGCAGGTTGTGCGTTTCGCGTCGCCAAAGTTGTCAACCCGCGGCTCCACTCCACCTAAGTTCGAGTGTAAGCCGACCCCGCGTACTGTATCCCATCAAAGTCTTGGAACCGTTATCATAATATTGGTAACCACGGGTCTAACATCATGTTGGTGCGTGGAATACCGCGTCGAACCTCCATGACGTATTTATAATAACGATCGTACGTAGAGAGTATCGCGCGCAGTGTCGCTCCTAAATCGTAATATTACACATGCATGCATAAACATTAAACACATACCTACACAATAACACAATACCTATATACCTATAATATAACATGTGTGAACACAGGACACGAATCATAATTCATAAGTCATAACGCAGTACCTACACATTATTGAAAATGTAATAAATATATATTAATGGATATAATAAGACACTAAACAAACGTTAATATATTAAAAATCGCGTAAAATATAAATCTATTACGGGAATAACGGGCGAAATCCTAACGAAGTGCGTAAGGGCGGTAAAACTCGAATTTTGAAAAAAACGGAACATTTCTGTTAATCATACTTTTATGACGGAAAAAAAAAAACAAATTAACACGGCCGCCGCAAATTATCGAAAATCCCGGCAGCCGGGTTCGAAATCACGACCCTCGTGTCACCTGCTCTAACGCCTAACCTACCTGGCCACCTACTGAGATGAAAAACGTAGTCAAATCTATGACCCTTAGGGCCAGTTGTACCGTTCTGTAGTTAAACATCGATTAGCTAATCAGTGATCAAATTTTAATCAATGATTAACTATTGATGTCTTGTATAGTTGCTAAGAAGCGTACTACCAATTTTACGTCTTCCGAAGAAGAATTACTAATTACATTAGTGAAAAAATATAAATCTGTGTTGTAGTGTTTGAAAACTGATGCTGTAAATGCCAAGTATGTAAAGTAGTTCTATAATTGTTTGTTTAACTTTTTATATTTGTACTCGTGTTGTGTTCTACCCATTGTAAAACACCATTATAATATGTGATATATTATTCTATACTTAGTAAGTAGACAATTTTTTTATTATAGTTGGTATGAACATCATAAATCTGTATAGTATTTATATAATTGTGTATTTACCAATAACCTAATGTCACAGATGTATGCTTATCTGTAATAATATTAAATAAAAATATCACATATTAATATCATTAATTGAGTCTATACGACACTGATTGGATTTCGTAGGATTGGGATTTAACACGGCCACCGCAAATTATCGAAAATCCCGGCGGCCGGGTTCGAAACAACGACCCTCGAGTAACTTGTCGTAACGCCTAACCTACCTAGCCACCTACCGAGATGAAAAACCGAGTCAAATCTATGACTCTTAGGGCCAGTTGTACCAGTCTAGTTTAAACTAAGTTTAAATTAGATTTTTCTTAAACTCAGTTTAATACCAAATCATATGTTGTACAAGACTAGTTTAACATTTAAACCCAGTTTAAAAGCAAGTTTAGATAAACCATCGATCTTGATGGTTTAAACTAGGTTTAGCAATATTTTTGCCATAGATCCATCATCCATTCATTTTGACAATTATGAATTATTATTTATTATACTGTGATATTGTGATCATTTGTGTTCTCAAAATTTATTGTGCAAATAATTATTTCTACTTAATTAAAAATGAATAACGAAATATCGGAGGATGAGGATTTTGTTGAACTTATAAACTTTCTTGCGAATGAACATCGAATACCAAGAATATTCAGGCAGCGTCCAGATTATTTTCAATGTCTTCGTGATTTTGAGTTTGTAGAAAGGTTTCGTCTATCAAAACCAGCAGTATTGTATGTACATGATCTAATTCGACCAGAAATTGAACATCCAACAGACAGGTAATTAAAGTTATGTACAACTAACAAGCTAAGCTTTCCTCCAGGATATGCGTCTGAATAAAAATAAAATAAAATACCAAATAGTACTTAATAATAAAGAGGACAAGTGGGTTAGGTTACTCTGCGCCTCTGTTGTACCTACAGTAGTTAGGATTGCATTGTATGCTAACTATGCATTGTGTTATATTTGAGTTCAATGATAAATCATTGCATATAGTGTAAATCTGTGAGCATCTGTTAACATTACAAAAAATGATACTGAGTGGAGACGTTGTGTCCTCCTATAAATAATCCTAATATAAATTATCCAATTTAATAATTTAAATAAAAAATTTAAAAATTGACTATATCTTACTATTATGTAAATAGCTTAACATTCTGGTAAACTTGATTACTACTTACTTTGTTTGTTAAGGGTAGAAAAAAATATGAGGAATCTTCTATTCAATGTATAATGTTACCTAGCTATGAAAATAAAAACATTTAATAATTTATAACTAAATAATTTACAAAATTAAGCCCTCCACAATCTAGATGTTCTACTCTGTAGGGGTAGGTGGGTATAAGTTATTATTAAATTCATTGATACACTTAAAACATATTACTTCGGCACTACTAATTCTGAAACATTTTTGTACTAACTGATATTTTATTTTATTTTATTTTACCTTAAGAATGTAGGTATTACATGGATTTTATAATTTTACAGGAACTTTGCCGTTACATCAAGACAAATAATACTAATGACTTTGAGGTATTTTGCGTCAGGTTCGTTTTTGGTTGTGTGTGGTAATTTTGTGGGGGTGCATAAATCAACTGCTTCAAGAACTATAACACGTGTATCAAGAGCTATAGCTAGACTTTGTTCTAAGTTTATTAGGTTCCCTGAGACAGAAGAAGAAATTTCAGTAACTAGGCAAGAGTTCTATGCAAAATGTAAATTCCCAAGGTGCATTGGTGTTATTGATTGCACCCATATCAAAATTAGATCACCTGGAGGGGAGGATGCAGAAATATATCGACATCGAAAACAATACTTCTCTTTTAATGTCCAGGCAATATGTAATTCAAATCTTAAATTTATGAACAATGTAGCAAGATGGCAAGGTAGTGCTCACGATTCAACAATTTTTAACAACTCCGCAATACGAGGAAAATTTGAGAGATGAGAAATGGGTGATAGTTTACTCATACTTGATAGTGGATATCCAATCAGACCATTTCTATTGACAAAGTGGTCAATTGCATCAACACGAACTGAACAATTATATAACGAATCAATAATAAGAACGAGAAATTGTATTGAAAGAAGTTTTGGAGTGTATAAGCGTAGATTCCCAATTTCATCAGTTGGAATAAATATCCATGTGTCAAAAGTTGAATCAATCATTGTGGCAACTGCAGTATTGCATAACATTGCTATAGACTTAAATGAAATAGTACCCAATATAAGTACAGAAATGGAAAACCTAATCAATCTATCATTTTTTGAACAAGGGACGGATGAACAAAATCGTCGACCTAATGGGGCAAATGAAATTACAAGAAACATTTTAATTAGATACTTTGAAACAATGTAAAATTTAATTTGTAGTTATCAAGACAAACATGATATAATAATTTAATTTAATATAGATTAACAATTTTAAACAAGCAGTTTTTTATAGTATGGTAATTGTATATACCTAACTATTGATTTCGAAAAGCCTTTAATTTTAAATCTAAAAGTTCCATTTCTTTGGCATGCTTTTGATTCATAAGCTCTATTCTTTGATCTGATTCTCGTTTTTCTATTTCAACAAAGTTCTTATGTCTGGAATTCATTAATTCAATCTTACGTCATGCTCCTTCCTCATTAGTTCTTCCTGAAGTCCTACTAAGTTTTTTTTGGAAGAGGCCCATTTAGTAAGCTTATCTTGTAATGGACGGTTACGAGCACGGCCTACATTGTGATATTTTAATTATTTTAAATACATTTGCAATTATACTTTGGAAACACCTATACATCATTGAAAATCAAGAAATTAATATGTTTAATAATATTTAATAAATTTGTCAAGCTTAATAAATTTGTTACCTTGGACAATTTTAAATTTTCATCAAGTTTCTAAATTATTATAATGGAAATGTATGTATACTGCAAACAAACTTACTCTACAAAAATAACATTAACATTTATTTTCCATATAATATAGTTGAAAATGTATATAGAATTATATATATATTTATAGAAAATTGTTGAAAATTTAAAATTGTCCAAGGTAACTTAATATTGATAAATTCATTAAAACTTTTTACTTTCTTTATTTTAATCAAGTAAGTATGGTCAATGAAATGAACTAAATTTTTAAAATTTTAAGTTTTATTTTTAGGAAAAAATAATAGTTGACTGATAGCTCATTACAATGATCTTGTCAATTAAATACAAAATGTGAAATTAAAAAAAATGTGTTTGGAACACGGATATGGGTAAAACGTTTTATGAAATATGAAATTATAAAGTTAGGTACTTACTACTTAATAAAAAATAATATTTCATTATTATTTTCATTATTATTATTATTAAACTATACTATACTACGTATTATTATCAAAGTTTAACTTTTCAATACAATCTACCAACATTTTCTTATTTTTAAATTTGTTTAAATTAATATTTAACTTTCTTCAAAACTCAATATTAATATCAATACCCACAATTTACATGTAATGTATGCATTATTCATGTTGAGGCATAAATTAATTAGCATTTCTTAAGTGTTTTAATATAATATAATACAATACAGTTTTTAGTTTTATTTTAGTATTTTGGAATTTTACAAAATTAATAGATACTATTTTATGTGGGTATGCAATATGCATTATTATTATTCAATTTAAAAAGAGCAATATATTAGGTTAGTAAATTAGGTATATATTTAGTAGGTACCTATATAGATCTACCTACACAACACTAACATTATTTTTTTACCTTTAATTTCTTTTTGAATAGGGACATTACCAGAATTTTGACGATCATCTACTACTGTCTCCATAATGTTTTTATCTTTCAAAGTTTCAGCTCTGTAGTCAACTTAAAATAAAATGGATAATAGATCACATAATCACATAACCAGTAAGGTTTTTATCTACCCTCAATCACTGGTTCTCCTTCACTATCTATATTTTCGGGTTCTTCATTAAAAGATACATCAAACATATTTTGTTGAGAGACTGGTTGAAGTACATGAGAGGGACGAGTTCTTAACATGTCTGGACTATATTCAGACCAATCCAAAACTACATCAATTGGTTTCAATCCAGTATTTGAAGCCAAAATCATACCACTATTACTACTCGAGTTAATAACATTACTTGTTCCCGGTATGGTAAGATTCCTGTCATCATCAAACTTTGAATTAAAACCAGTCATCTGATTCCCAAGAATTTCCTAAAGCTCTGATTGTATCTCTGATGAAGAGGTGGATTTTGCAGGTCCTCCACCAGTACCACGTAGGTATGCTCTTTCATCAGAAAACACTTTTTTGCCACATTTTTTTATGTTTTCATACTTACTACGAAGAGTTTTGGGTGACCGATAACATTCACCACAAACACTGTTAAATTCTATAGCTAATTTTTCATATGAAGCTGCTTTTAATTTGTTTGAGTTTATGTCTGTTCTTTTGCATTCGATCGTTGAAGCATATTTCTTAACCAGAGCGAGCAAAGTTTTCTCTTCTTTGTAGGAAAAGTTGGTGGCTCTTTTTTTAATTGGAGTCATTTCTTAATAATTTTTATGTATTAGAAAATTATGTTTTATATGTATGAAATAAAATAAATTTATAAAACTTTAAAGTATAAAAGAATAAAGATTAATAAAAATAAAGATTAATATTATTCTGAAATTCTAAATTAATGTTATTAATTATTATGCTATCATATCAATTATCAAACAAGAAGTGATAATGCACTGACAATAATAGTATTGATGTGGTGTAGTTGTCCTAACGTTCATAGAATCCACTGACTTCTCTGATAAACCTAGTTTAACTATCTGTAGTTTAAACTACCATTGAACAACATGGAAAATTGTAACCTTGGTTTAATTTTTAAACCAAGTTTAGATAGGTAATCTCTAGTTTAAACTAGACTGGTACAACTGGCCCTTAAGCCACGTCGCCGTGCACGCGAAAGGCGAACGCCGTTTGGACGGCCGTCAAAAGGCGTTTGAGCGGGGGATCCGACCGCTTCGGCGAGCGGACCTCCGGATCCGCCGCCCTCTGACGTATAAAACGCGAGATTTGCGAAAAAAATCGAACCTCGAGACGCATGTATTTATGCCTGTATATAGCGATACGTAATCGGTACCTACTCTCGTTTCCGCGACGTCGCTCCTCCCCGGGGCTCGTTTTTGAAAAAGTAGGGCCTCGCGCCGGCTATAAATTTAGCGGGGAACGCGAATAAGATCCAAACGGGGAGGTCGATACGCCCTAAAACGCGTAAAACTCGAATTTTCGAAAAAAAACGGCAAAAAACGCGCGCGACGGCGACGCTCGTATCGCACGCGACGTCCGTCGCCGCGGGCCCGCCGGGCCAAAAGTAGGGCCGCGCGCCGACTATAAATTTACCGAGGACCGCGAATAAGGTCATTATTGAACTCGGAAGAGTATCTAGTCGTAAGTCATGCGATTCAAATCAATCGTAAGACACAGCCAGCCAGGTAGGCAATCCGACTACGTCGGATCGCAGACCATGCCCCGGGCGTGTATGTTCGGTTCTCGTATGTGTGTTGAAATCGGAAATCGGGTTCTGAGTTTGAATGTCTAGTTATCAGTCATCTCGGGTGAAAGTCGATTCCCGAGTGTCAGATGCAGTGGGGGTGTAAGTCGCTCGTATGCAAGTAGCTAGTCAGGTAGGCAATCCGACTACGTCGGATCGCAGACCATGCACCGGGCTTGTGTGTCCGGTTCTCGTATGTGTGTTGAAATCGGAAATTCGGATTCTAAGTTTGAGTGTCTAGCTATCAGTCATCTCGGGTGAAATTCGATTCCCGAACGGACAATCCGCCTACAGCGAAAAGTGCTCGAAACGGCCGTTCAAATATGAAAAAGCATACAGGAGGTAGGTAATAAAATTATATTTTTTGATAATTATACAGAACAGTTATCAGGTGTTTTCACGGTTATAACAAATAAGTCGACAAAATTTAATTTTATTATTGGATATTTTCTAAAATATACCTACCATGTATATTTATTTAATTATAAGAATTAAATCAAATTAACAAATAGATAATTATATTGGATTGAATTGAAAAAAAAAATCAATTTATCACGGCCGCCGCAAATTATCGATATTCCCGGCGGCCGGTATTTAACCCACGACCCTCGAGTCACCTGTCCTAACGCCTAACCTACCTAGCCACCTACTGAGATGTAAATCTGAGGCAAATCTATGACTCTTAATCCGCGTCGCCGTCCCTGCGAATGGCGAAAGCGGGTTGCGCGTCCGTCAAAGGGCGTTTGAGCGGAGGACCGTGTCCGCCGCCTTCAGGGGGCCTATTCTTGAAAGTAGTAGAACGATATTCGTATACGAACCATTCTACTGGTAGATATTCTACTACCAACTCAAAACCGTATTCTTGAACGCCAATAGAATAGTTGGTAAGAGAACTGGTCGTGCACGAATATTATTCGAATGGTGCGGAACGGCAACATCGCAATGCCGTCCGTTCATTGGTCGAAATTTATATGAGCACGCGCAATTAGTAGAAATTCAATATTACACTCTTTTTTTTTATAGCGACCTTTCCGTTCTCGATCCCTGTGTCTCTTTTTGTTTTACTTCTGTTTTTTTTTTTTTTTTTGTACGATGGCGAGAAAGTCGATGACACCGTCACAAAAAGAAGCTTTGGTGGAATTTATGGAAAACCACCCCGATCTAAGAAAAGGCAAGTTTTCCATAAATTTTACAACGGCAATGGCAAAAAAAGTGGGTGGAATGCCAAACTAAGTTAAACAGCATCCCCGGACCGGCCAAAGAATGGCATGAATGGCGAAAAGTAATTATGTTAGTTGTCATTTATGATTATAGTATATATGATTACATTAGTATGTATTATAAAGTTTGTATTATATTATAAATATTGATGAAACAAACAGAAATTCTAACATAAGATATTAAGAAA